GGGTGCCTCCATGGTGCCCCTTGTTCGCTTTTTTTCGCTCCACATGCAACATTACCTTCACCTCCGCCGCGCCCTGGAAGATTCACAATGGAAGCTGAAAACCGCTGGCCATGCCATCAGGTTCCATGCGGGTCTCTTCTCATGTACTTCTAGAACCCTCACATGGTTGATGGTTTGGTCCCCGAGCCTTCGGCAACCTAATGTCTCTGGCCGACCTTCGAGCCTCTGGAGGGCGCGGAACTGCGGACGCCCCCTCATTCTATCAAGTGGGGTGCTGATGTGGAGATGGTTTAAGAGTTGTATAGGTACCAAGCGCTTCCTGAGTAGGCCCAGATGGAGACCAATGAGGACAATGTAGGGCAGTCCACTGGTGATGTTTTTGGAAGCAGCTGGTAGCTCCATGATACACGAATATGGTCTGAAATTCTTGCGTCCGAAACCGTGTTCCACCACGCGCTTTTGTGGTGGCGCATCCCCGAGAGGGAAATGCCTGAAGGCGGAAAAAAATGCTCCGTCCTGCTGTTGATCAAAGCGTGACATCAAGTCTTCGTGATAACTTTGCATCAGTTCGCGAAGGCCTTGAAAGTCTGTCGCGCCTGAGTTGGTAAGCCATGACGACGAATAAATGAAAAGCCTGCAACAAAAATCAATGTGGTGCTGCATGCGTGCTTATACCGGCAGGTCTGTATCTCAGCGTTGTGGAGCATTGAGTGTAGGAACAAAGTACGTGGTTGACTGTCTGCTAGGCCATCTGAACCACGCTACAACCTGGTAAGCAATCCCTGAAAACTGGTAGCCCCCACTTAACCATGCTTAACCATCCAATGGGGGAGTCGTAGGGTCATAGCTCGTCAAACTCACCAGCCCCTTCCCCGCCTTTCAAGCTGCTGCCAGGTGCTGCTACTTTCGAGGGGTTTGGACGTTCCACCTCGCTGGGGGCGGAGCAGGACCAAAATGAATAGAGCAGGGCAGGACCAGGCCCGTTGAGATGACAATGATGACCATCTTGAAGAACATGTGACCAGCAGCAGTTCCAAAGGAATACTGTTTAGTCCCTAAGTGCGAGGATAGTGGGCACCCCTATCCTATCCTATCCTATCCTCCAATAGGAACCCCTTTGGGACTGATGGGATCTATGTTTGTTCCTCCCAGTCTTTTAATGCCCCGAGCTGGGGTGTTGGGGTTCACCCCAGCTCGTTCTTTCTTTGCCCTCCCTCACGCTGCGCGACGTCGGCCTGCTCTTCGTGTTCAGCGTTGGAACTGATGATGCTCAGGTTTGTGACCGCAGGGGCTCCACTTTCAAAGCTCTCAACGCGGTACATCTCGATCGTTCTATTGCCGTCATCCTGACACATCGAGATCGTCTCAGATCTCAAGATCGAGTCCGAATTCTATAAGGCAAGAAATATCCGTTTTGAGACATCCAAGCAACAGTCTCAATAAATGAAGAATAATGAAGATATCAGCTTTCAATTCTGCAAGGATTGACATCCTTTAGTTATGTGTATACACGTGGAACTTGATCCCGTCCAACCACGTTCTCTGGCATCTACAGTTGGAATGAGTCCACCCCAGAGTTGCCAGCACATCCACCGCATCGAAATGCTCAGGGCTTCAACGACATCCGCGTGCGACACCTTTTGGCCCACCCCCCCTAGTTGCAACTAGCAGCCCAAACACGACCCATGGGAGTGGAATATGCCTAGAACCTCGTTATATAATAATGTCCGCAAAACTTCATTTAGGCGTACCATTCTGCCCGCCTTCTTTCTAAGGTCAAAACCGCCGAGGCACAGCCGCATGAGAATTCTTACAGAACCAGAAGTTGACTGAAAAACACTTTATGCCACCTGACGCTAGTCCCCGGTCTACAGTATTTGAAACTCATGTCACTCGCTCCACTCGTTTGTCCACCCAACAACTGATTGTAGTGAGCGGGGAATGAGTAAGAACGCTGAACACCTAAGTAACGGGCAAGAACGCCTAATTAGATATAAACGGTAAGAACGCCTAACAGGAAGAACGAAAAAAGAAACAATGATTTAGACAACGAAACTGAAGCTATGCATACAAAAGAGAAACATCAACATCAAGTGAGTTCCTGATAAATAACAAACGTCCATCATCACCATGGAAGTTCCTGGAACCAGTGGTGGGCAAATCCTCATCTATTTGAGCATTGCCACCAAAAGGACCAGAATGCCTAGAGGGGACAAGAACGCCTACAGGGGGGCAAGAACGCCTAAGCACGGACAAAGGCGCCTGTACCCATAATAGGCCAGGCAAACATGTCTGCCCAAGAAAAGGTTCTATATATAGGATGTTCTAGGTATGCATACATTGACCCCAGGTCCACCCCAATGTAGGTTAACTATGCCATAAGTCCGGTGGAGAATTATGCACTACTTGTCCCATGAGAAAAAAACCGCACAGTTTTTTTAATGTAGTTGCCATGATGCAAAGGCAGTGTTCTTGGTGATTCTGAGATATCTTAAGGCAAGCATCAGATACATCAAAGGAACACTTCTTGGACATCTTCGACTTGTGTGTCTCCTGCACGAGGAGCATGTTGCAGCTCACAATACAAAACAGGCGGCACATGCTGAGTGTGAAGGATGACAAGCGCCTCAAGCTTAGCCAAAGACCCCCGCTGCAAGTAATTAGCGCACATGTAGATTGTAGATTGACACCTTGCTGCGGCATGCAGCTCTGAGTTGATTCGATCCGGCCTCCGAGCCTCCACCTTGATCAGCGAAAAAAAGAGCTTCGCGGGCCCCATAGATTTCGCAAATGTTATTTCCTTTAGGGGCACATACGGCGCACAAAGGCCTTTCTGGTATTTGCAGGGCACTTGGGGCAGCTTTCTACTTGACCACCATCAACTGTACTACTGATACGGCTTAGAGCATCTATAGGTTTTGATGGCTTTTTACTGATACGGCCCATACGGCTTAGAGCATCTTATATCATCTATTGACCCGGCCGTCGAGGCCCCGAAGCTCGCGTAGAGTGTTTACTGCTGGCTGTCAGAAGCGAACTGGTTTTTGCTCTCGCTTCAGAAGGTTTGTCCTTCCATGGATCGACCTTGAAGGATTGGAGATGACAATAGATGATATCACCTCCAAAACATGAATTGTTCAATCATGTGCAGTAAACCCATGTCCAACCTCTATCGTACAGCAGGTCCTATTAATCAAGAGCCTACCTTATCAGGAGTTGACCTGAACCAAAAACTTCCAGGCACCATGTGGGTATCTTAAATCGGGGAGACCCCCTTTCTCACCCCTGGCTGGGTAGACTATGGTGGACTGGTCTATTTCCCCAACCTGAAACCGCGCCTCGCTGGAGCGTGACGCGGAGCTGGTTTTGGATTCCTCGAACTCCTCGAGTTCGTGTCACGTCGGTGCTTCGGCTTTCGGGCGACGTCTGTTGACCAGCGAGGCGGGCGACGGTTGGAGGTGTGTTTTCGATTGTTTTCAAGCACCGTGACGGTTTTTTCTCTGCAGAATGTGGAGGTCTCGAGATAGCTTGGCATCGTAGATCCACTCGGAGCCCCAGTGCATAGTCGAATGGAAATATGCAGAATGTGGGGGAGGAATGGGGTGGATGAAAAGTAAGAACGACTCCAGCGACCTCCTTTGGTTCGATGGATGTTTCTGTGGGTGCCCCCTCAAACGGTCGAATTGTTAGCCTACTTGTGGGCCGCTTTTTGACTGCAGCCTAACTAGCTCCTCAGGATGTGGAGAGCCCATGTTGAATATAGAACTGGTTGATGTTTTCAACCCACTTGAAGCATATGAGTCAGAGGGTCCAATCATCCCCAAGTAAGGGTTGAACATAACAATATCCGAAACCATCACCACTACCATCACGAATTGAGGACTCCCAGGTTGACCAAGTTTGGAACTTCGAAAAGGGCATAGTCCAAAAGCTAACAAGGCGGACGCCCGAGCACCAACCACCTGGATCGAGAGAGCAAAAGGGAAAGGACACCGAGCAAAACAAGCAGCAGCAAAAGCAGCAGCTCATGCAGCATCAGCAATAAGCCACTAAAAGGAGTAGCAAAACAAGGACAAATGCAACTAACAATGAGAAGTGCCCCCACTACCACCACTACCACTACAACCCCAACAGGTGTGTGTGCGTGTGCCTAACCCCACTTGTGCTTGGATGGTTCGTCCATCAGTTTGTTTTGACACTGCTTTTCAGATGAGAATCTCGGAAAATAATAGGTCTTCTCTCAAGAGGGATCACCCACAAAAATCACAAAATAGAACATCGAGGATTTGGAACAATTATCAGAGAGTAAAAACTCATTCACGGCCATCGAGCAGACTTCGAAATATGCTGCAGGGGGCTCTGTATGTGAATCCTTACGCAAAGCGGACTTCACTGCAATCTAAATTCCTCTTAAGGCTGACATAGGCTGGCGGCTGATAGAGTTCTGTTCGACTTCAAATCGATATGTATTAGATACAGTAATACTACATAACTATAACTATATTACTGAATTCATTACCATGACATGTAAAGGGCACTTGTCTGTTTTTGAGCAACCACCAACCACCACCATGAACACAGCAACCACTGCCACCTCCAGCACGTCAAACATTCACCCACCACCGGCCCACCACCCAAAACACCAGCCATCTTGCGCCAGGCTTCCATGATTTTCGCCGCGCGAAAAACCACCGGCCGCGCGGATCGCCGGAAATGGCTGCTCTGTAGCCCGAGAATCGCCAGGGCGAGAGTCTGATCGTACAACCCTTAACCCAAACCGCTTCAACCCATCACCCAAAATCTGGGTCAAAGTGTAACCAAAAATAATACCGCCCTGTCTCCCACCAGCGCTGTACCAAGAAAGCCCGCCGTCCATGCTGCATCTCTTGAGTTGCCCGACCTCTCTTCCGCGGACCGTTTCTGCATCCATCCAGTCTCAGGTCGTCCAGTCCATCCGCTCCACCTGGTCGGGGGCCACCACTCCACCACCGTCTCGAGGCCTCCAGCGCTCGGAAGTAGTCGTTCCACTGGGCGTCCAACTTCGAAGGGTTCACCTTCCACTGCCTCCACCGGAGCGCGGAGCGGCTCACGCGCCCGGCGCGTCGGAAACCGCACCGGAGCGAGAATGGCCGGGGGTTTGGCGTGTGGTGTGGGCGGAGAGGGACTTGGAGATGGCATGATGCCGTAGATGAATCTTGAGTCTTGATATTGATGAAACTGATTTGCTGAGTGCACCATGAAAATGGCTTGAGGCTCACATGGATGCATCTAGATGCTAAGGGTAATCCAAGTCTGAGGCCCCAAAATGAACAAATTCGCTGTTCGGTGCTTGTGGCGACCAAACCAAGCTGAGCATCGTCACTGGTGGGTGAGTTTCATCGCTACTAGTAGCTTCTTGCTACTGTAGTAGTAATGGCCTCCAACCTAATAGCGATGGTCTCCACCTAATAGCGTCCTGGGCGGTGGCTACACCGTTATGTCCCAATTCTCAACAGTTTGCGACATGGGTGACCTTAAAACCAATGCCAATGCCTTTCACACTTCTGCATGCAGTGTTGAGAGTCTGTTTCGTTGGTTTCTTCGACCCCATGTCGAGGCAAGAAGTGCAACCCAAGGGACAAGTAGAGATTCTCCAAATACCTCGCATTGACGCCTGAAGCAACTGCATCCTGCACAGCACGATGCAGCAAACAAGCACACAGTGCAAAGCTAAAAGGATGCGTTGACCACCGGCTTGCAACGAAAAGTCTAGATCCCAATGAGTTTTTGCCCAAGCTCCCATTGGACAATGGCTAATGGACTTGGGGCTGTCTACACCTTCGCCACACATCACTTCGACACAGCCCAGGAATCTCCCATGTCGTGACTTGCTCACTTTCCCCAGAAAAAGAAAGGCTACACTCCCTGAAACAATCATGGAAGTGGACAGTGGCCCCGAAAGGAAGATTACTTTCCTCTACCAAAAGGGGGTTGCCCACTTCCATGATTGTTGCAGGGAGGCTAGCCCTTTTCCATTGGATTTTGACTGGGGGAGCCCAACCCCTGATCTCCCCACAAGGTGATTCATTGACCCGGTCGGTGTGAACACCCAGCCGTTCCGGCTGCTGCATCCTGTGAGCATCACGCAATAGGCGGAATAGCCCTGTCCTCGATTTTTCTTGTTACTAGTAATGGCCTCCAACCTGATAGCGATGGCCTCCAACCTAGTAGCTTCTAGCTACTGCATGTTCCCTCCCGCGAAGTCAGGCCTCACGTCGGGGACGGCCCGGGTGTTCCGTCCTCATAGAAGCTTCGATGTGCCAATGAAGGACGCCAAAGTCGGAGCGCAGCTAGGCGTCGTGCTGAATGCATGGCCTGCGAAGATGATGAAGATGAGGGAAGCCCTCAACCAACTGGAGGATTCCAACACCAAGTAACACCAAGCCTTTTTGATGACGATTTGCCTGGAGGGTTAGGGGCCAACAAAGCTGCTTGAAGGTGTTTCATGAAGTTCTCTCATGAAGTTTTTTGGGTCACTATTCCAAAGCTTGACCCTTTACAACACGGCACATGCCGCACCACAAGCAAGCCCCTTGCCAGCACAGTTTCATGCATCCCACATAATGTGAGGACTTCGCAATGCCCCTTGGCAACTTCTCCCATTGCCTGGCTCACGCACGCACTCCGGCGCCGAATGGACTCCGGCCCCGGCCCGCGCGCTCCCCACGTCCGGCTTCGAGCCCGACGGGTTCAGCGAGACGCTGCCGTCAGTGGCCACCGTGGTTCTTCCCCACAAGTCTTTGTGCTTTTTCCCCTGTCATGCAGTTGGCAGTTGATGATTTGGAGTTTATATATTATATAATCCTAGCAATACAGGTGTGATAAAGGCTTGGAGCATCACAAAATACCATAAACTCCCCCCGCGCCCCACACTACACATTCTGACCATGAGTTCACCAACTATGTCAACATGACCAACGTACCACAAACACATCCCAAAGAAGGCTTCTCCAATGAGTGCAGGATATCAGGATATCTTTCTTCAACAGTAGCCGATCCAACCGGCTCATCTGAAAACCACCCCTGGCGCCCGTGCCAAGAGAAAAGCCCCGAGGCCGCATCGCCCATGGCGGCCACCGTGGCATCCTTGGCCTCAGCAAGGAAAGCTTCTTCACACCCTTCGATCACACACACACACACACATCTCAAGTAACATCAAACTCACCATGCTGCACCATGCGAACCATTTTCCTGAAGTGTTTGTAGACCGATGCTAACCATACTAACCACATCTAACCATCTGTTTTGGGGGCCCATGTTCCTTTCCTCACACTCTTCTGGCTTCACTTACGATTGCACTTCATCATCTTCATCTGAGCCCGGTCGAGACCGAGACCCGAGTCACACCGTCCAGCTCGTTCCGTCCATCCGTGCAGCGCGACACGAGCGAAGAACGCAGCCAGAAGCTACGAGTTCGTACCGGTCCAGACCCTCTAAGGATCTCTAAGGGGTGCCCTGTCTGGAAGCCTAGGCCGGTAGTGTGGAGTAGTCCAGCCAGGACACCCCGACAGGAGGGTCCTGGTATAGCACTCTACTCTACTGACTATTTAGTAACCAAAAGCTCCGTGCTGGTGGTTGAAGGCGCTGTCCGACAACTCGTGGACGTCGTGGAAGCACTGACAGCGGTCAAGAGAAGTCACAACCACATAGGATTAACGAGGATCAACGTAGATGCGGCGTGAATACCCCAACACCCCATATTGAAGAGGGTTTCACCATCCAAACAGGGCGGCGGGATTCATCAAGATTCTACATTATACTTCCATTAAGCATGTTCCATTTTTGTTGGATGGAGGGTAGAGCTGGTATGAGCTGGTGGAAACGGCTGATGGGTCTGAGGGAGGGTGGTCAGCCAGGTGTGCCACTCTAGCTCAACATGTGCACGGCCCTTCAAGGAAATCCGGATAGAAAAAATCACATCCCCAAGTATCTGGGGCAAACAACTTACTAATAGAAACATGCTGCATGCTGCACTGAGTTCAGCTGCGCCAGTCCTGCCCCAGTGCTAGTCCGTCAAAATTCAAGGCAAACATGGGCGAACCATGATTTCTGTTTGTCCCCGTGCTTGTGAAGCCAATCCAACCACACCGCCCCGATCCCGCCATCGATTCCGGCCGATTCCGCTGCGCTCATCACAGGGTCCTGGGGAACGGGCCGATGGCGGATGGCCAATCCAACGTGCAGCGAAGCGCGGCCTAGGCCTTTGAAGGTCTTCAGATTGGGAGCTCCAGTAGTGGATCTTCTGGCATTCTCTGAGTAACCCATCTCCGACCTAGACATGCTGGACGATCTGTTGCCGAACGAATCGGGCCGTCTCCTGTTCCCACGACCAGTCACCGGCCTCAGCGCTTTCAAACGAATCAGAAGTCAATGATATAGTACTGATTGCTTTGAGGCGCAAAATGCAGCCACACATACGCACAAACATCTCGTCCTCCGTCTTCTTTTAGCGTGTCGAACCTGAATCAAACTGACCGTCAACTGCGAGCAACAGGCACTGGCCAAAGCACAGTAGCTCGGCTGGTGACTGACAAACCCTGGTCCAAACACGACTCACCAGCACTGCGATCCCTTTTTCTTCGAATCAGCTCCCAAGTTAGGCAATTCTGATCCTGGCCGGCACCATCGTTTCGGGCCAAGAACGACGTTTAAGTCGCTCCAACGACCAATCAGAGCTTTCGAAGATCTGCGACGGTACTTCCAGAACAATCACAATGACCTGATCCTAAAATGTCTCAAACCAGCAGAGGTTGAAGAACCCTATAGACTATCATATAGGTACCCCTGGTGACGGGTCCTAGTTCAGGTCACGGATAAAGGCGCCACCGTCCATCCCTTGACATCACCATCACAAATGGATCTCGGACACTCTGAAGAAACAAACACACACACCAATCGATCTTGGATAGGCAAATCGGCTCCAGCCCCCCCTGATCAAAAGAACAACTGTAAAGCACAATCCGCATGGATCCCTGTGACAACAAGGGACACACACTTAGGATAGGGTGTACTGAACTGAAAGCGGTGCCACACGCC